CAATATGTTAACTCACTGTATATAGCAGGCTTCATAAATTGACCCAATCTCAGCTTACGCGGGAAATTAACCTTGCTGTCATAAATTTTACTTAGAGGACTAAGGAAAATCAAACGAACTCGTCACGAAATGAGCATGGCGTTATTGGGGAAAAGCGATGTAGGTTGGGTACATGGGACGTGTTACGACCGAAGAAGCAAACTGTTCCCATCTCTGCTACAAAATAAAATTATTATAAAATTAAATTTGTGCTCAACTTCGTTTCTTCTACGATTTGTGTGTCGATACATTGATACGAGTCGCAGTTTGTGAAATATACACTGAGCTCTCAAGTAAAATATGTAAATTAAAAGCACAATTTTTTTTATAATTTTTCTGAGCTAAAAAGTTTCAAATAAATAAGACTAGTGTGTATGTGTGTATGGGGGGGGGGGCAACATCATGATATCTGAATTAAAAATTGGTCAGAAGAAAACCGGGGTTCATGATTAAAAAACATTTCGACTATTACTTCAAAAAACAGGGACTAGTTTAGAAAATTTTCCGAAAATTCGTTAGAATTGAGCTAGCTGCTTCGTGCCTTAAAATATAAAGGCACAGCCACAGTCCTCCGTTATCGCGTGCACTGATTAATATCACTCTATGGGTTTTCACAAAGACTCCATAACTAGGCGCACGGTTGAAAACATCCCAGCGACCGGCCAATTACGCTTCTAATGAACTACCTCTAACTAGATAGCGGGGGCATGCATGGACGTGCTTCTGACGGCCAGCACAACAAAATTGTCGCCAATTTCACTCATGACGCCAGAATTATAAGGGCTTCATTTAGGTTTAACCGTCGTCTAGAACCATTCCAAGTTGAAAACATAATACGCCCGAGTCAACTAGATAATTAAAAAAAATTATAAAAGATATCTGAAAATGGTAGGTTCGATATCGCACAGGCCGTGTTGGCACCGTAGCTACTCTTATACGACATTGGAGTGTTCTCCAAACACAATGACGAGCGTAACTATAGATGTCGTCTGCAGGGATTTTCCGCCATTTTTTCCCGGGCAGTCCGATAACGCGACTCAAAAAGAAATAAGAAATTACAATTAAGTATTTATACGTTCTGTTTATGGGGAATGATATCATGGATAACACAATAGTGCAGAACGAGTTTTCGATTTGCTACTTGTTTTGTGCAAAATAATAAAATCACTCTGACCGTCCACTTCGTGATTTCAGACTACGACTGACGCAGCGACTCCCGTTGGGGGTCACCGAGGGTCCCATTCGCCCGTCGATGCGGCGCCGACGGGACTCAGTCTTGTAATTTAAATCTTCGTATAACTTTAAAAAGCACGCTTGCTGATACAGATGAAAAATTCATGAAGAAGGGGAAATATATTATTTTTTCACCAGCATGATATCTCCGAATACCTGACATGCAGACAAAAAAACTATGAACCGTCACGAAATGTCATTCTACAGAATGTATTGTTACGGTTTTGTTTAAAAATGCCCAGTTTTTAATACGACACAGACTGGGATATTTAATTATTAAAATCCTAAAACACCGATAGCAACCGTGACTGAATATACTGTCGGGCAGATAGTATGTTTTTTGTTTGTACTCTTACTACGCAGTATCATACTCGTACTGTTGGGTCGCCTCTTTCAAAAAACCGCCTCCCTGTGGCTTTTGACGAAAAAGGTACAATTATAGATGAAACAATACACGCGATAGAGCGTGTCGGTAACAATGACAGTTTACTACACTTAGACACAAGTTGAAAACTGTCGCTCCCGGTTACGTGCCGTCCTTCTTGGGACGTGCATAAAACCACGTGACATGTGCCCCCACTTTCCTCCTCAAAACGCAACGAGCGACTGTCTTAAAATGTGAAAGCGAAACAAAAATAGATTCAGTCGGTGAATTTTAAACGTCGGCTGAATGCGCCAATGCGTTCAATTTTAACGTCCAAGTTCCGTATTTGATGCGCCGTCCTGTCATTACCTTGACAAGCCAGCCACCATATGCAAGAATTCGCATTAATTAAAATTCAAACATGCATGACGCGACTTGAAAGAATGGGGCAAATATGGGAGTCTCGCTTTCGATCACTCTTAATATGTGCTTGGTGAAAAGATTTCGCAGGAATAATTTGCAGGATGGAGATTGGAACCATGATGGGATGGGTTCGTCCATTATCTTACAGGGAAGGGCAGCACAAAAAGGGAGGGGTCGTATCCCATTCGCTCACTTCCTGGTACTATGAGCATGATCGCGAACAATGGCATGTTATTGTTTGCGTCATTGTCCGCAACTTTCATTCAAACACGATATTGAAGGGGCGATCTCAGAAAGGAATAACGTCATTTTCAGAGATGTCACTTGTAGTCGCTGTTCATGCCGGCTCGCTCAGTTGCCACGAGTGTGCAGAAAACGCCTTCTTATCCGAACAACTGAGTGGAGGCCCACAGTACGTGTTCACGCACTGAGCAATCTAATTGATTTTTTTTCGGTGACTTTTGCAATTTTTTATTTAAAATGTGTTGGTGAAAATAAACCGCGTGAGCTGCCCCGTGTGAAAATAGGCTTTGAGCAACAGACCTCATCTGCATCCGTGCGGTGTGGCTTTCTCTCGAAATCCCAATATAAATAGACGGCTGATGTGAAATGCACTAAATACCAATCAATTTTGCCATATGTACGGAACATTTTCGAAAGGAGAAGCCATAAAGAAAGCGATGCCGGCCATTGTTTGCGTCTTATTTGTCACAAGCAATCCGCGATAATGCAAAATACGCGCATCTGTGTATCTCAGCTTTCGTGTTTCTCGAAAATTGGAATCATTAAAAGCATTCGTGTTGCTATTGGGGCTGTCTTCATCAGTGGCGTACGGGTACCCCCCCCCCTCCGATGCAGAAAGACATCGAGTCGTGTACTTGACATTTCTCGTAACGATTTCTAGGGAAGGGGGAATTGCTGGAAAAGAAATTAACTAAACTTCTTACGCACCATAGCCTTCACATTAGTCAAACTCGGAGATCGATATTAACAATGACATGCCGAAATTGGACAAATTTCTTCTGGGACGCGCAGTAGGTTGAGTATACGTTTTGAGTATTAAAAGACCGATGTTTGCTTGTCTGATATGTCCTCTAGCATTGCAGCCCGGGGTAATTGTAAGTGACGAATGCTTTAAATCACGAAAACATGAATTTGTCCTTGGGTCCGTTGCAAGAAAAAAAACCCATGCACACCTTGTATTTGTGTGTGTGTGTAGAACATTCCCTAAAAACCAGTTTTTAACTGCACGAAAGGTATAGATAGAGAAGATGATCAGTTGACCAGCATTAAAGACATCGATTGTATACAGTCTTTTGGAACAGGCGCCATGTATGGCCTTAACACCTTTGCGTACGTTTCAGACAGCCTCCTGGAAAATCTATATTGGGACCGACCTCATTAGAACTAGCCCGAATTGCTAGAAGTTAATGCGATGTTTTAATGGATAAGACTTTGCCAGACTGCTATATAGGTCGCATTAAAAGCAGTCCCGGGACAGACGCACGTTGTTTACGCCACTGTACTGGGTCAATACTCACCCGCCGATCGATTTATACAGCATGTTGAAATGAAAGAAATTGACTTTAATATGATGAATACCGAAGCGTCGGCCAATTTGCTTCACCCCTGTGAGCTGGGGCTTAAAATATAAAATTGAGTAAAAAATAACATAACATAAAATTAGTAGGAAGGTAATTAATGACTAAAAGCGAAAAAAAAATATGATTCAATTGATCGAACTTTCACGCGAAATCCCAACTGATTTTAAAATTTAAGTTAATTGGACGTATTCCAAAATGGGACAAATTAGAAAGCATACACGACGCTGCAGTTGTTAGCCGTCACGCGCACACTGCAGCAAAGTGGTTTCATTATGCTCGTGATATTCATAGTGCACACGAACCCCGCGAATGGTGTGTGGAAATTGTACAATATGGAAGCTCTGAATGAAACTGGGGGTCTGGGCTCTCTTGACTGACAGTCTCGCATATGGCGAGAGAGGACACGGAAAGAAAAAAAACACTACTGATGCACAATACACTGTCAAAATACGCGTATTAATCCACTACCAGCCTGGTCCCAATTTTACAAGACAAATTGCAGGCCCGTTGTCAAAATGTTGTATTTATAGGACTGACACTTGTCTGTAACGGGAGTCAGATATATTCTGGCAGTTTGTGAATATGTCAAGCCAGTGGGGTTGGTTAATAATAGTAATACCTTACACAGCGCGGTCGTGTAAGAGAGCCGTCCCATATGGACGAAAAATTGAGTTTTTTTATTTTTACTTAAATATACAGGTAAAATATGCACCACTACAAAGGACGTAATTTATTAAACTTCAATGTATAATGGAAGTTTTCTGAGCAAACAATATTGTTATAGAGACAATAACAAGACGGGTGAGAAATCATCCCAATGCGAATAACACAATGGGAGACACCGGACCAGTGTTTTAGTTTAGTTGACAATATAAGCGCATGACACTCTGTTCTATCGGAGTACAGCCATACCGGAGAAATCCAATCGTGGCGGTTATATCTATGTGATTACACCAGCCTTTCTCTTGCGATGGATAAAAAAAATAAACCACCCCGCTAGGGAACTGATCCGACAGATAACCTAAATTTACCAAGCATTCCCCTGGTCCTTGTCACCAAGCACACTCGATCCCAGCGTATACAGACTAATATAGAAAGTCGCCGCTATAATGCGTCGACCATAGAAGTCTGTACAACATGCTTGTTTATGCTCCCCATACTGCAGCGAGGATAAGGTAACCGGCATATGACCCGTTAGAGAAATGGCGGCCGACAGGCTACGCGTCCAAGCCAGCGATGAATAAATATTAAATCGGTGTAATAACTAAAGAGGGACACTGATTTATCTCTCTCTGTGTGTAAACAAGCGACAGAAAAAATAAGTTGTTATACATTACCGTTGTTTTCACTGGTACGTAGAGGAAATCTTTCCCCGTGTCGGCGTCGTCACCAGGTCCCAGTTTAAATCCTTTGGCTTTAACCCAGAAACGAAACTTGGCATTTTCCGTCGTCGGAGCTTCCTCGCCGTTCAGAAGTCGTATAATCCGGTCATGTTTTTTCTTCGTCACAGTCTTCGTCTTGCCACTGTCCCCGTAATTTTGAAGCGCCCACGACTGAAATTGGTCGAACATGTCCGATTTCGACTGTCCGTTTTCCATAGCGGCTCGTGGGACTCTCGGTCGACGGTAGTACGAGTGAGAAAGAGAGAGGTCCTCCCGATCGAATGTAGTCCACACGTTCTTTGAAACTCTTCGTATGAGTACACCGTTGATTATAATGGGCCGGTAGCGTGCGAGTTGCTCTGCCTTCTATAATGGGAAACCACCGGTACAATGACGAGGCAGAGTAAACAGTATGCGCATTGTAATATTTTCAATCTATTGTAGGCAGCGTGTCATCTGCCCGATACAGTGCGGTGATTGGCCCACACAAACAAAGGACGAGTATTTGGCCTGTCACTCACAGATGTCCCATACTGGAATACTAAACGGAACTGTTCGCCCGAGAAAATCTGAAAGCCTACAGCGAAAAGGGTCAGCAAGATTTATTAAAAAATCAAATAAAAAAAAAGAAGAAAACAATGACATGTGTTTACATCCCATCCCGGGACACTGTATGGACATGCGCATATACAAGTATTTTTCCTAACTGATCTGCGGCATTGATTTCAACACAAATCAGTTTTTAAATCATGACGTAAATTATGACGATCGACATAATCAGGTCCAAAAGCTACCCAAGTGCTTATATATTTTCAGCACATTGACCCATTTTCCTTGGTAATTTCATTCCAACTTAACACGTTTTCCTGTCGTTGCTTCAAGATTTTATACACGGGCAAATGCCGATCTTATAGCACAACAGCAGCTGCTGAAGTCTCAACGGTGGAGCACTGGCACACATAACCCTTTCGGGCTTTGCTTTTCGTCCTCGGACGCATTTTTTTCATGCATACATATTGATGAATTGCAATAATACGAATGCGTGATATTTTACAAATTGAGAGGGGACTTGAAATAATACACTCGCACAGTTGGAACACGTATTTGAAACAGCAGCTCCGTGATTCAGGCTGACTCTGAAATTACGCTTTTTACATTGAACAGCTCCCCCAGGCAACATCGCTGTATACACGCAAGGTGGAGTATAGGTAAACAAGGAGGACGGATCTCACGCTTGAGATTTCTCTCTTTCTAATATTCAGCGCTAATGACGAGTATTGTGCGGCGTCAGATCCAGCGCCCATCTTACAAAAAAAAGCTTTACCTGCCATCTACATATAATCCGACCGATCATAGATTTACTGGGAGGGGGGAAATGCGCTTACAAAAAAAATGAAGTACACGTGTTGAAAGAAGGATAGGTGTTTGAAAAACTATTTCCGTATTATACATACTATTTGCCCATCAATTCCCGTTATTTTTCACTGTCGCCATCAGCTGACGTCACCAGTGACGCAACACATAACTGGTAACCCAGATATAACGCTTCCCTGCTTGAGAATGGCTTCGCCCTAATTTAGTGATCCATAGTCTGTCGTAACTGGAGTATCTTTTCTTTTGTCGCACAGACGTATAATTCCTTGAAATTATACACAATTCCGATATTTTGGTGAAAATTGAATACCGTTTACGCGTTTTAAATTTCCAACGAGTGTTATACCAATCTAACATTGTGCGCCACGATCAACATGGGATACGAATGAAATTCGTTTATATATATATAGATTCGCGTGTGCATTTGTTGGCCCAGGGCAGTTCGATGCAGCGTAACTAGATTGCCATAACGCCAACAAAATAACCCCAAGCCGGATCTGATGTTACAGCGAAGCTACGAGGGCACTGTTACAAGTGTGTTGGCCGTGCCATGTCAGAGGCACCGAAGTGGGGGTTCTTTTTTTCGCTTCAACCGACTCTGCGGTACGGAGCATTCGCGTTGGAAGTCAAATCATTGCACGGATCGGACGCTTTTAAACTTGTAATTTGTAGGCTGATTGTACCGCTTGTTAGATGTTTTATTCTCGCTTCCCCAAATAATAAATTTACTCTGCAAGAGAAACAAATTAATCGCGAGGAGGAGGAGTTTCAGTGCGAGTGTAAGAATTCAGTGATATTCCAAGAAACATCACGTAGCGAACTTAATTGAAAAAAGCCAAATAAATTAGAAATTCAATAATATTAAAATAACATCTTATGGCGAAATGTCCACAGTCACGTGTTTCCGTAGCAATGAACATGTTTTTGTTGTTTTGATACACAATCGGAGGGACTGGCACCTAGTTATTGTCGTGACACGTTTTTTTTTTCATCAAAGTGATTAGAGAGATTTGGAACGAACATGATGGAAAAGCGATTAAAATATGGCGCACACACTGGGCGCTGACGTCCGGGGAGTGGAAAACCAATCGGGCACGGCTGCTATGGGTATTTTATTTAGTCCGTAAAAATAATATTAACACACGTCTCAACTTTTCTAGCATATCGTGAGGTGATCATGAAAATTATTTTTCGTGAATGAATAATTTCATTTTTGTTGTTGTGTGTTCATTGCAAGTTATAGGTAAGGTGAAGTGGAAATTATCTTAAGCATCACGCATGCATGTTGACTCAGTGGTCTCTGATTGCGTCATATAACGCGTTATGCATGCCATACAGAGAATTCCAAATAAAATAAAACACACCCCTACTCCGTCTAGTGGTTTGAAATATTCATGAAGCGAATTACGCTTCCAAGTGGAAGCCATCTTCTCAATACACCTTGCAGAGCTGAGGAGTGATTTCGTGCACGGGAATGAAATATAACGGGTTCAGTGGCGAATCAATTATTGTAATGGAGCACACGTTACCAACTTGGACGTACGTTGGTATACCAGTTGATGGTATTACCGTAAAAGAAAACCTACTAAAAGAGTATTTCTTTCAATAAAACAACGCACAATGATACAGAAAGGAAATCACACATGTACCGCTTATTTGTTTATATAGAGTCAGCCTGTAACAGTCTAGGCGTTTCAGTAACATGATCGGTCACGGTAACCAGTGTACGCGATAATAAGCAAATACAATGTACAACCAAATACTCGTATTATATTCCACCAATCTGCACAGTACGACTAAGAGGCAACGAACGCCATTACAATTTACAATTTCTCAAATACAAACCTAATTGTCAAGAATCTCATCACATTTTAAAAATTATATATATATATTCTAATTTTAAAACCAGACGAGTCTCATTGTAATGGAGTAAATAGAGAAGCGCTACGCCCGAGGAACAACTGATAGATCAACTTATCACTCCCGTTTTGTTGGTTCTGTTCAAAATTAGAAAGATAAATATTACTGCAATCCCAAACACTGGGTCCAATTATTTTAGAGTATGGCATTTGGTTTTTCGAATATCATGTCTTCAAGTTCTTCAGTCATTTTACTTGTCGTATCGCTCGTATCCAATATTTTTCAATGGTATATTGCTGTTTTTTTCCTGATGTCACCTTACTAGCTCAATGTGATTGTAAACCCTGGGTTACAAAACAAAAAAAATTGTCCCACAAAGCCCGAAAGTCTATCAGACTTTTCCTCGGGAACTACATCGAATCTGAATCTGGTCTAAGCATTTCACACTTCTTCCGCAATTGACTTAGATTTCAGCCTAATTTGATACAAAATCATCGAGAATTATCACTTTCCCCCCAAAAAATAGAACGATCTCTAATGGTAAACAACCTTTACTCCTCATGCAGCTCGCC